GGGGGGGGGAGCAGGCTTGTTACGCCGGAAAGCACGAAGTGGTAAGGGTCGGAAGGGCGACGATTGGGTGCTGACTAAAGTAGACTTTGCCGTCGGCTGAGTCCGGATTTGAATCGAGAACCTCTTTCAGTTTCAGACAACGCGGGTGATCTAGAAGCGCTAGTATGCGGGCCTCTTCCTTCACATCCTCCAATTTGGTAATGAACCCCATTCCAGTTGGACCCGGGCGATATTCCCTCCGCCTCAAGAGCAAAATCTTTCGGTATCGCTTGCAGCAAAAGCTGGTGACAACTCCAGTGGAAGGATTTGCCTCCTCTACCCGGAAGACACTAGAAAGTTCAGCTGAGATTACAACGGAAGCACTCCGCACTTCTGTCCAACTCCCCCCCACACACACTCAATGAGATGGCAAAATGGCATGCCTCTGGGCCTCCAGAGCTATGCTAATGTCAAAGTCACTCAAGAAGTGGCAGAAATTCCCACGGGCACACAGATCTAGCTCAGGCAAGAAATACTAGAGAATCCTGATGCTGCCTGTATTGCTTGTGTGGGCGAGTGTCCACAAACCAGCTGTGTGTCTGTTTGCTACAGGTAACGAGGGTGCACCAGTAGTGACTTCTCGTGGAAACTAGAATATGAATGCTTGATAAATAACTGCTAGCTTGGGGTGTACTAGACAGGCTTGGCGATTGTCCTTACTGTTCGCTAATTTCTCGCAGACGCGATACTGATTCAGCCACGAACTGCCATCTGATTGCCGACGCTTTGAAACTACTCGGACGTCAATTCCTTCCATGCGGGGGGATGGGCGATGCATTGTTGATGGCAGTGTAGTGCTTTCATAGTGGTCTGCTTGCTTCATTCACGTACTCTTAGAACTTGCTACGGGGGAAGGGCTGTCAGCATTCAAATGACTCGGGAGCCATCTAACGCAAAGGCTAAATTCCAGACGGAGGTTTCTGACCGATCCCAGTGAATTTACAAATCACCAAGGTGCCTTCGTTGTCCAAGGCGCTGAGGCCTTTGTGACGGTCCCCAGTTGGGGCTCCATTAAGTCCGTTTTGCTGGCTCGTATGTATGGTATAACCACACAGACACCCTTGTAAACGATATTTGCTCAGTGACTTCAAGCTGTTATTGCGAAGAAGAGCGAACCAGATGAGGATATCTCTGTTCCTCAAACCCGCGCGAAGTCTACCTTCTCCTCTGTGGCGGTAAGCTCACCGCCAACACGAACGAGGTACCTTATCTGAAATGTCGTAAATCAAGTATCGATTTGCAAGCAGAAATCATTAAGTGTGGCGTGCGAGGAAACTCTAGCGTCAACAAGGCACAGGGCTGCAGGGGCTGGGGGAGACTGTAGTGCACAGGCACTGCAGTTGTTCAACCTGTGAAACCGCTAGTAGCCTATTCCGTGAGAGGAAATGATATAACATACTATTAGTGAAAATTTAGCGCATTTATTGGTGAAATCAGGCTAACAGGCGATAAGCTCCAACAGGCCACCCCGGGCGTGGGGCTGGCTGGGACGCTGGGGCAACGACTAACAGGGAATCAGGGCGAGATAGATCTGTTTTGGATATCCTTTGGGTTTATATATTTCGGCAGGAGTGGCTGATAAGGCTTTATAATCTAGGGTTATTTTAGGGTGAGAATCTGGAGTACGCGCTTAGCAATTACGTGCGCCATACAGCTGAGCCGGAGAACTTGAGTAGTCACAGCCGAATGCGAAGTGAGTTCTACATTTGGGGGCTGTTCCGAGGAAGTTTTCCTTCCACACTCCTAGCTGTGTAGCCACCTTAACTGGTAAGAACGATTGGGGCCTCTCGCATAGCGCCCTGGGGTGAATTACAGCTATGCACCTACCCGAGACACGTGTGTACGAACGCTAGCTCGCCAAACCATGCTTCCGGCACGGGATAATAGTCTAACAGTACAGACCAATGCATCAGAGCCAACACAAAGGGGTTCTGTAGGGACTGTATACCTCAGACAGGGGGATGCAGTAAGGAAGCATGATACGCCGCATAGAGATGCCCCGCAAGGGCTGGTTAGGGCGGGAATTCGGGAAAATCAGACGTTTCTTCCCCCGAAGAGCACCCCAGTGAAAACAAACAAACTTGATGTTTCTTTACTGCTTCAACAAGAGATGCACGCAGGCATGCAGCTCTTGTTAGGAGCGTAGTATGTATTCGGCCTTCACGTGCAACAACGCCTACCCAAGAAAACTGCTGCTCGCACTTGCGCGACTTGCAAATTTAGTGGAAGCAACACAAAATGGGTGTGAAGGACATGGGTATGCCTCATAAAGCCCCATTAATAGGTCGACCATTCAGCACCACTCTTGGAAACGTATGTTTATCAGCAAACTTGTAGGCGTGTGCTTGTCTGCTAACGGCCGTAGCAATGCGGCAGCAAGAGGTAGCCACCAGTAATACGGAGTAGTTGCACACTAAGTACGCAGGACAACGCCATCCAGTTTCGCTGCCATCAAAAGATGATTTTTCATCTCCACAGAAGGTACCGTACTAATGCGCTGCTAAGCTCAGAATCCAGAGGCCCCAGATGATGCTAGCAACCAGAATAAAAATGGCTTCCTTCCAAGCGTTAGTCTCTGGCTGTCACTGCATTTGCACTCCCGCCATCGCACGTGCACGTGGTAATATCGGTCAGTCTTTCTCCGTCTCCTTCCTGTCTTCCCAATTTTGGGATAGCCTCCCCCTTACGCGTACCCATGCCACGTATCCCTTCGTTCGTGTTGCTTCTCCGTCTCCTCCCGTCCTTTTCTACGCCTTCCGTGCATCTCCCTCCGTGTCATTCTGCGTCTGTTCCCACTCTCATCTGTCTATCTGTGTGTATTCCGCTGGAATTAACAGAAAAGAGAGTTGCGTCACTGTCTCTAGCTTCTCTGCTGCCGTCTGTAGTGACACTGAAGGCATTGTTCACCTTAAACGAACCGCTCTTTCAAAACGCCCTGCCCGCTGACGGCAACTCTCTTCAACAGACCGTTGTAGCAAAGTGTGTCTGTACATACAGTTCTCCTTTCTGAGGAGTACAGTCAGTCAGGCTTCCCCTGAGGGCGCATACTCCCCATAACTCCCAAAACAGCACCGCCTTCAACCCCTTCGAGCCCTTGTAGGGGGCATGTTGTGTTTGCGTCAGCCGTTGCACTTTTCAAGCAACACCGCCCAGTTGTTTGTGTCGTTGTAGCAGTCAATGACCTTCACTCGTTTCTCTTTTTCGCATAGCTTGAGCAGGTCCTCCCTGCTGAACACTCTGTAGTACCGATAGAATGTTTCCTCCCTACGAGAAGAGGCTGGCGCTGGTGAGTCAAAAGCATCAACAGGCCCCTCAACAGCGGACCCCACTCCACCGCTGTCGTCGGTCTTCGGCAGACCTCGAGCCCGTTCATAATGCTTCTGATACACCCAAGGCACTAACACTGAGGCAGCAGCAACAACACAAGAAACCCTCGCACGCGTGCAGAGCCGACCGCGCATACCAGTCGCAGCCAGCTGCAACGCAAAAAGGGGCGCTAACAGCGACGGAAACATGGCTACGGCAACACCAGAAGCAGCAGTGTCTGACCGTCTTGGCTAGGGAATTTTCGCTCCCCAACGCTACCCGCCTCGTGTTCCAGGGCCCTGAAATCCGCAACCACGTGACAGACTTTACTGTTTATTGAAAAGCTTCAACGCATTGACTTTGAAGCTAGAGTTACGCTATCTAGAGTTCAGCAACTAGGTATTGGGTCCGAATTAGCGTTTGGGCTTGTAGTGTGAAACTTGGGTTGGGATGAAAGTCCAGAGCACTAGTTAAGAACATTCCACACCACACGTATATTAGGATGCGACCGCCAGGGCGCGTTATGCGCGCCAGTTCTCCCAAGGCTTGCTCCCTGTGCACAAGACCACAAGAAGCAAGGGTGGCAGCATCTGTTAGAAGCAGCGACTGCTGCAGTTAACAACGGCGCCGTCACTGCTGCAGTAGCGCAAGGCGAGTGGCAGCAAACCACCAATAAGGCACCGCCACAGTATCAATCAATTGAAACTAGTTGGAGCAACAGTAAAAACGCCAGCTGCAGCAACCAAAGAAGCAGTAGCTGCAGCTGCGGCAGCGGAACAAAGTCTGACCTCCTCTCTTCAGTGGTCAAGTGATGAAGGACAGCAATGCAAATGACGCCGTCGGCGACTTCTGAGGGTTAACGCACGCTCACCAAAAAGTTCCATATGCCTCCAGTGAACCGCATACCACAAACAATAAAATCTAAGCACTAAGTGTTGAGCACTCACCGTCTCTTATGCAAGTGTGCAGGCAGTCTGCCTGTAGTAGCCTAGGCCCCACAGAACCCTGCTGATGTTCCAAGGCGCATTCCAGAAGTTCTTGAGACCTGTCAAGGCCTATTGACAAGCAGCTGTAGGGACTGGAGCTGCCGCTGCCGCTGCCGCCTATGTTGTTGGTGCTGCCGCACTGCGGTCTGCAGTGGAGGTATTTGCCGTTACCACATCCAACGTCGACCAAGAGAGCGTCTGGGGAGAGGGATTCAATGAAAGCAGCGACGCGAGGCCAAGGGCGGTTCCTGCGAGTACACATTATGCGTGGATACACTTGTCGAATCGTTAGTTCCTATGTTACATGCCTGTCCGCGCTCCTTTGCTCGGCGTGGGTTGCATTGAAGGTTCGCACGCAGACAAACTTAGTTAAACAAACACATCTGCTTCTTATGGAGTGCATTGAATTTGCCGTATGCAATAGGCACGAAGCGGCCGCCAGCTGCTTCATACAAAAAGCTTATGTGTTTGTGTGGTTGGGCCAACGGTATTGGATCTAAGTGTCAGCTGAAACTGCTCGTGAAATGGTTTGTGTGCAGGCGGGTTCATGGTCAAGGACATATTCCTTCAAGTTTAGGGTTTGGGACCTTGTGTGGCTGAAGTGAGGGGCGATCTTAGCGTAGATAGAGTCGACGTGTTGCCTCTCCAGTGATGCCCCCAGCAGCTCTGGGGGGACCGAGACAGCCTCAGGGCGGCAATAAGCCTTTTGCTGCTGCCGCCGCCGCTGCTTGTGCTGTCGACGACGCTCACGCTTCTCTTGTTGCCTTTTCTGCTGCTCCTCTTGCTCTTGGTCTTGCGACGGATTTTGGTGCTTCTCAATGACCCCTTGTGAACCCAACGCAAAAGGAGGGGCAAAAACTCCAGAATCTTCCATTTTCACAAGCACAGAAGCTCACCCTTACTGTGCAAAAATGGCAGCACCGGTTGCCGGCGCAGCAGCAGCGCCCGCCGCCTCAGCACCAGCGCAACCAAAAAAGCCCTGTGTTATTCTTCCGTATCTCCTTAAGGGCATCTACTACCTATGCAGGTGGACAAGTTTTCATGGGGGAGCTGCTGATAACTCCCCCTTACCTGCTGGCCACGCTTTGGGGCACTTAGAGGAAGCAGGGCTTCTCCAGAACGCGAGCAAAAAGCCATGGGCCTGAGAGTTGTGCTCTTTCGTCCATTAGAATAGAAATAAAAGTGGAAGGTGTGGGATCGCAGCTCGTAAACTTAGTAGACTGGGTTCCAATCACTGGCACGGGGGGGGGCCCCTATGTAGTGCACAGGCACTACAATGTAGCTCTGGTGTGATCTCTAGCAGCTCATTGACTATAAAGAGAATGAACATTAGGTTTAGGATGTTTGTAACCATGAACGGGAATTAATACTGCTAAATGTTCTAAGAATCGAGTACCGTAGATAGAGTCATACGTTAGTACGATTACCCTGCCAGTCACCATATCGGTAGTGTGTGCCAGGTAGGTCCCTCTAGAGATCTAAATGGAAAATAAATATAATTACTACTATATAGAAGTATTGTGTCTGCGAATACGACATTTTGGTGGATAGCAGTCAAAGTGGTAGATAATAGGGACAGCCAGCCGATCACACGTTCTAGTACTGAGATAGCTAACCGTTTAAACGAGGAGCCGCGGAACGGGCTTCACAAAAGGAAAATATCTGCAGACGACATGCTGAACAGAAGGCACCAGAGGCGGCGTAAGCTGTCGCACGTGAAACGGAGAGTGGAGAAGGTAACGGAGGGGAATTCGTTGGTAGACAGTACGACAGTTGAGAGACCCGACGTACGTTATGCATATGAGCGTGCACGGGTCCTGTGCGAGGTAGCAACAAAACCTAATGGCATTCCAGTCCCCTTGGTATGGGAAACGAGACACAGCAAGTAGAGAAGATGATACGTGGGAGCAGATCCGTAATGGAAGAGGCATCAGACACTGAGGCCCCACAGACGACAGGGGTGCAGCATGGTGTAGAGTCTACTAGGGGATAAGTCGAAGAGACGCAGCAAGAAGAACACGAGCTCTTCGAAAGGGACACAGAAGGGGCAGGAGGGCCCGCTAACGCGATTGACGAGGGTGTAGAGACGCCATGGCGGCGACAGGCTGGTGAGGCCGCAGAGTTTGATAGGTGCGGAGTATGGTGCAGTGTGGGCACTACCGCATTTCTGAGTGTAGATGTGGCTGGGAGCCAATGCGAGGCGTTCTTGGACATGGAGACCTCTAAGAGTTTCATTGGTCAGGAGAAAGTTGTTCGTTTACAACTAAAGGCGCGCTGACCTTCAGAAGCGTGTCTGTTTATGGAGGCCACTGGCTAGCAGATGCACACGGGTCGGGTCGTCATGAGATCGCCGACGTGGGGTGGACGAGAGCGTTCCACGGGATAATTCTTGAAGGGGCCTGCATCCTGTGAAGTTGTGTTCAGCCTTGTTTCTTCGACCTCTAAAAGAGTGGAGTGGTGTCGTCAGTAAGATCAGTTGCGGACCCACTTGAATTAGACCTGGGGTTAGCTGACGGTAGCGCTGTCATGTGCAGAAACGAAAAAGGGGAGCCGCACTAAGGGACAGCGCCAGAAGACCCCAGCAGGGCCACCGCCCAAGTGACCTGACGAGTCACACACTCCTTGTGCCCGTTTCGACTCGTGCCTACTTGCTGTCTGGCGTGTGTGTATTTCGTGTTGTGAAGGGAGGTGGGTTTCTAGAGCACCAGTTCTGCGTTAGGGTGTCTTCTGCATAGTTAGTAGTTTAGTACAGGATCACACGGACACTCACGCAGTTGTATGACACCACACTATAGGCATGCATACTAAGTAGCTGTGCACAAATAAACACAGGCACAGAGTTAGGGAAGCTAGTCATTAGGTCTACTAATAAAAGCTATTAGAAGGGAGACACTTACACTGGGAGGCCGTTTCAGTTCGGACAAGGGGGGAAGTTGTAGTGCACATGCACTACAATAGAGCGCATGTGGTAGCCTTAAATGTCTAATTTCACGAAAGGTAACAATGAGAAATATAAATACTTATATATTGGAACTCTTTAGATGGAAAAGAGGTCAAATGAGTTTAGAGTGCACGTCCGCGTACACGAGACCCAGGGCTGACCGTGAGGCTAACGCAGTTGCCTTGGCTCAGACCCTCTCCGGGGGGGAGACGATCAGTTCTATTATTCTGGGTTTTTCCTGGATAATATGGACTCGAATATGTTTTAAGAGTGACTATTTCCTTATTAAAGTGGTATTAGCAGAGATACTCTGCTAGAGTCTAGCGTATAGGTGCTGAGTGTGCACCAGGTTGAACTACTAAGTTATACGGAGTAACAGCTGGGCACGCTGTTCACTGCAAGTGGCCATACTCTTTGGGGCCCCTGCTGGTCCAGCCATTGCAGAGCTGTGCTCGATAAGCACGAGTTGCTGTATACTCCGTTTGCGCCTTCTTGCTACAGTGTTCTGGTTTGATGATTTTAAATGCAATTCTCCATTGTTCCTGCCCTCGTCGTCTCACCTATGATGCGTTTGCCCTCCTGTCAAGGTTAGTGACCTCCTCGAAGCCCTACTCTTCTTCCATGCTGCCTGGGCCTTCTTTTGTCTCCCAGACAGAATTCTGTTAGGCTCCCGTTGCAACTCAGTTGCCAGAAGGTAGATGACTTCACGGAGGCCGGTGGGGGCCCTAGGGGGGTACGCTGCTTCTGCGTGGGGCCTTTACGTTGGGAACGCTGGCAGCCTCTTCCCCACGGGACTCAGACCTCTCACAGTATCTGCAGGGCATTCCAGTGTGCATATTGTAGCTGCAGCATCGCGTGCAGCAACATCAACGGCAGCGGTAGCAACAACAGTAGCAACAGAGGCAACAGCAACATCACCAGCAGGGGCGACAACGGCAGCATGGAGGCACGCGATCACTCGGCGTGCACTTAGCAAACACACAGGAGCCCTGGACACCTCTTTGTCGTCCTTTCTACGGTACCAGTACCGCCAGTACCCCTTCTGCCGTCCATTGACGACGGGGCCTCCAGGGATTGCTTCGGGAACCCGTCCAGCGGCAGCAACAACAGCGCCTCCCCCAGTTGCAGAAGGCCCATCTGTGGATTTCGAAGGGGTCCATGATGTCCGCTTTGACTTATCGCAGATACCAGGAACGGAAAATGCGCGTGATGGGTATTTGACCTTGGTATTCACATGTTGTAAATGCAACAAGAGATCTGCCAAGAAATTCTCCAAGGTCAGACGAAGTCGACTAAGTAAAACAGCATCGAACATCAGCAGCTAGTGGAGCAGCAGCCACCACATGCGGCAGAATTTAGCATCAGAGAGTACGCACCGACGAATGCAAGAACGACAGCAGCCTCAATGACTGCGAAGGCAGCACCGTCAGGGGATATTTGTGTCATTTTACTGTTACAGGTTGCCTACACTCGGGGGGTGGTGATCGTGCGGTGTCCAGGCTGTAGCAACCGTAGGTATACCCTTGAGTTGTATTTTTCTTTTGTCGTGCTTGCATGTTTGGACAGTAGAGCTAGAAAAGCCGTGGTTGTCGAGGAACTGGGACTCTTTTCACTTTGACTTTTGAAGCACTGCCTCTGGATTGAGGGTTTAAGGAAGAGGGCTTGAGTGGCAGGGCCGTGTGTGTGTGTGTGTGTGTGTGTGTGTGTGTATGTATGTGTGTGTGTGTGTGTGTGTGTGTGTGTGTGTGTGTGTGTGTCGTGTCGTGTGTTTGTGTC